TAGCATCCACACCAACAAAGAAAGATTGATGCAAGTGCTCCATAGCATCAATTAATATATATGTTGGCCACACCTCGAGGACACATCATCAGGCTGTGACCTGAAAAGGGGCTTATCTCCCATGCTAATTTTCCCATAACTACTTGCTGCACAGGTCAGTACCCATCCTGGAGTTGTTTACAATATGTACTTGAACCAGGCTCAGCAAAGTATGACAGATTTTTGCAAGATCAATGGTTTATTCATTGCAAATACTTTGTATATGTAGCTGGATGGAATACATAGGAATCATATTGATCACATCTCTAGACAGAGAAGATGAATTTCAATATGATCATTCTGAACAAGGCCGGAAGCCTACTGCAGAACTAAACATTGATTTCTCATATGCAATTTCAAGTGGAAGCTGAAGAAAATTAAAATAATCTACAAAAGCTAAAGTGCAATCTTGAGAATATCCCACATGAATTGAGGTAGCCTCAGCATACATTTGACACCTTTAATGCTAATTACAAGAGGAGTTGTGGGATGATATCAGGGATATCATATAGGAGAAAAGTATAAGAGACATTAAAAGGCAAGGAATAGGAAAAGACCAAAATTAATGTTATTAGGGATTATGAAGCTTGACTTTAAACATGCAGCTGCTAAAGGGAGGAAATTATATAGTAAAGAACTAAAGAGAAGATTTCAAGTGATAGTTCAGAAGACAAAGTGAAGTATTATAATGAAATGTGTGAGGACCTAGAATTAGAAAGCTAAAAGGGAAAAACATGGATTTCTCAAGGTAAAACAACTGGGAAACAAACACACAAAATTCAGGTTCCAGTTGAAATACTGAAGAATTCCATGGACTATATATCAAATGATTCAGGAAAGTCCAAAGATGCTGTAAGGAGTACACAGGCACTGGACCCAAATACCCTGTCACTCTTGAACCATTTCAAGAGTGCATAGAATCAGCAACTGATAATAGTGAAGGAGGGGGTGCAACCTACACTGAAGGCACTGGTGGAAAAAAAGGCTTAAGGAATTACAGAATACAAATTGAGATTTTTCATCAAACAGATACAACAAAGCTACCTATGACAAAAATGTCAGAGAGAGCTAGCTGGCCAACCAATTGGATGAGATCCATATTTTGCCCATTCCACAGAAGAGGGATCCATTCGAAGAGGAAGTTATCTAACAATATCATCAATATCACATGCAAAATTTTTCTTAGATACTTAAAAAAACCAAAAACTGGTTGCAACAGGACATTGTACAGGGAAGTTAAAAATCTTCAAGCTGAATTCCAAAGAGGACGTGGAAGGATGGGTATCAGTGCTGACATCAGAGGGTGATTTGCTAAGAGCAGAGTACGCCAGTCAGATGCTTACTTGTGTCATACTCATTGTAATAAGAGTGATTCAACTGTATGTCATAAAACATTGTGCATGACATTGGAAAGAAAGGGATCCCAGAAAATCATGCTTGTGGGGGGAACTTGTACTTTGAATAGAGCAAGGAACTATTTCAGAGTTTAAAATCTAGAAAGTGTTTCTCTTGGTTCTATCTTTACACCAAAATCAGTCAAACTGCATGCTGAGGAAGTAATCAAAAAAACTAAACTCTATAGTCATCAGGAATGGAATGATATTCTTTTAAAAACTATAATATGGAGATTACATATCATTGAAGGCTAGTAGGACTTGAAGCACTCTTACTAATGAAGATCAAAGACTACAGTGTACAGGATAAATTTACACCTCAACATCAAGGAAGAAAACTAGACACAATGTAAAATTCCTGGATACTTAAATCCATAATCAATGCCATTGAAAGAAGCAGGCAAGAAACCAAACAACATGTTGTTTTGAGCAAAATTTCCTGCAAGAGAAAGCTCTTTAAAGCATTAAAATATCAGAGATGTCAGTGTGAGGATCAATATGCACTGACCTCAGTCATAGTATTTTCAATTGTTTCATATGCATAAGAAAATGAATAAGTAGGAATGAAGACACATTGATGCATTTGATTTATGGTATGAACAAATTACATTGTATATACCCTTAATTGCTAGAAGTAGCAAAGCCGTCTTGAAACCAAAATGCTACTTAAAGAAAAGATGGTCAGACTCCATCTTGCTGTGGACCTATTAGAAGAAGAAATCAGTCCATGAAGAAGGACACCATGTCTGGCAGAGTAGACTGTCAAGAAGAGGAAAAAAGAACACCTCAATGAGACAGATTGACACGAAGACTGGAACAATGGGCTCAAGCACAGCAACCATGGCGATGGTTTCGGTTTGGCTAGATTTCATTCTGTTGCATCTAGATTGTAATGGGCTCATCCAGAGTTGGAACAGACTGGCATTAAGAGTCACAATAGAGATTATTTTGCAGGCCTACATAATTTTAGCTAAAAATTCAAAGCTGAGGACAATATTTGATAAGCTTCTCTGCACTTTGAGATGATTAAGTGATAATTTCTGATAATCACGTGAGCCATTTGAAACTTACGAAAGTTTAAGCACATTAATGCATATATTTGCAATGTGCTTATCTTATAAAGTCTGATAGTACCACACAGATCCAAGATTTTCCGCTTTATTCTTAGGTTGCTCTGTCAGGAAAGTCTCTTCTATGATTATACGTTTAATTCCACTACATTTGTATCTCTGTCAGAGGCAAGGGATTTAAGAAAATAAAATATTTCCATCAATATCACATATATTTTCCCCAAACCGAACTACCAGTGTGTGGCATACAGGAGGCTTATTCCCTTAGGCTTCAACCACACTTCCAAGATGTAAAAGAACAATTGTGGCAAATGCTGGCCTCTGGGACTGACCCAAGTGGGATTATAAAACCTATAATGAGTTTGGCATGCACAGAATGGTTAAGATCTGCTCTTCTTGCTTTGATTCAGCACAGCACAATTAATCTAGAAGAAAGAACAGTACATCTGTGTGTGCCCAATCTAACAAGGAATGGCGGTAATGATAGGGCACAATAGATGTTTAGGGTGAAGAGGAGTTCCCTAAAGGTGAGGAATACCTTTCCAAAATTATTGTGGATTTCTGGTACTCAATTATACTGAAAATGGATTTAGAGCATACTGCAAGGGCAGAAAATATAGCCCTCCAAAGGTAAATGGACTTCACCCTGCTGCATCATTTGATAGTTAAAAACAATGTATTCCCATCGAATGGGAGGAACTCTCCTTAAGGTTATCTCTGTCAATGCTGAGGTTTTCCTGGTAGTTTCTTAAGAATTGTGTTTATCAGACAACTAGGCAATTAGTACTATCATTGCAATAGGGCATATGTGCAGGAATGTGGTTTGGGTTGTCACATTAATGACACTCACTTCAAAATGAGCATCTCAGTGTTACTGTTGAGAGAGAAAGAGTAAAGATCATTTTAAAAAGAGCAAGGATAATTTTTAATGCACTTTCTATAATCCAATATAATGAATCCATGAAACCTGATTTGTAGCATCTGTTCGTGCTTCTTAGAGCTCTTGTGGAACTTAGTTATGTTAACCTCTGGCACATGAACGGCCTTTGACATATATCTCCTCCTTTTTTTGGATTGTCTGTTGTAGTGGAACAAGGACTGAAACTTGGAGGAAAAGATGATCCTAATTCTTCTGTGGCACATACTGGTTGTGTAGTTTTTGAAAATAAAATTAGCCTATGTAATGTATATGTTCCTCATTTCATAAACTATGGACAATCAATAATGATCTCATTAGAGTGTATACACATTATCAGTTGGTCCCTTAACATTTTTTGTTATGTATATTATGCTTTTGAAATATTTTTGATCATCTGACTCATTTAGAGCTTGTTGATTCTTTTCTATATAATTTAATTAAATTCTTAGGTGTAGTAAGAAATCCCATGTGTCTTAGCTAGCATTTTGATTTTAAATAGATAAAAGAATAAGTTGCTGGTTAGTTCTTTGGGGAAAGCAATATATATACACATGCCACAAACTTCTTGAAAGTTTTGTGCTATATACATGTGTGTGTGTACAAACAATACATACAGATATACACAAAAAATGGTTCACAAGGCTTGTGAAAAGAAATCCATGATCTCTAAATAGATTTTTCCATGAACCTTTTAGTCTTCTACTGTTTCTGGTTATATATGAATATAAACCACTTAAAATCATATAAACGGAACCACATCATATATATATTTCAAAAGTAAACCCATAGGATGTCATTATATCTATGTAGATAGATACATATTCTAAAAGTAAACTCACTGCCACAGAGGCGACTCCCACTCAAAGCAACTGTGTATAAGGATTCCAATAGTGTAAATCTTTATAGCCTCATCTTTCCTCCACGAAATACATACCACTTTGAAAATCTTACCAAATCTGATTTCTGTGATTTAAGAAATTATCCATGGATTACTGTTTTACTTATAAACAACTGAAATATGTACTGGGAAAACAAAGCTCTAGAGGCATTGGCATTCCAAGAGTATATATATATATATATATATATATACACACACACACACACACACACATATATTGTCAAAAGCTTATAATTCCTTCATATGCAGTTTTAACAAATACATTGAAGTTTTACCTCATACAATGGCTTGAAGACCATCAATGATTTACAGAGATAGCTTTCCTTAAGGCAGCCTTAGGATTTTTCCAATGGCTTGTTAAGATGTGAAGAAACAACAGAATTAGAAACTTTTCCCATCCTGTCTTTCAAATGTCAGATGAAGTTTCCCTGCGACAAGCAAAATACTCTAGATGTTTGGAAGCTAAGGCAGGATTATTACTAGAGAAGAGCTACTCTATTCTGACCAGTATTTAATTAAATTAATGAATGAATTTAAGAAAACTCAAGAATAGTGGACTTACTTGATGAATAACTATTGTCGGTATTTTGTTTTTGTTAAATTCTGGACAATTTTATTGCAGATTTATCAGCATGTATCCACTTTTGACAACAGAAAAGTTACATGTAGTCAGATTAAGCATGTTTACCGTTAACTTCACTGCATTCACCAATCCCAGTTATTTCATCCTGATGGGCATCCCTGGTTTAGAAGACTTTCACGTTTGGATATCCATCCCTTTCTGCTCAATGTATGTGGTTGCCCTTATTGGAAACACCGTTATCCTTTTCATCATCAAAACAGAGACAGTTCTCCATGCGCCCATGTTTTACTTTCTTTCCATGTTGGCCACCACAGACCTCGTCTTGTCAACCTCTACCCTTCCCAAGATGTTGGGTATCTTCTGGTTCAATTATCATGAGATCACCTTCCATGCCTGTCTTACTCAGATGTATTTCATCCATGCTTTCTCTGGGGTGGAGTCAGGACTTCTTGTGGCCATGGCACTGGACCGGTATGTGGCAATCTGCAATCCTTTGAGGCACACATCTATACTAACAAACGTAGTGGTAGCCCAGGTTGGCATTGTGGCACTTTTACGGGGGTTGGTGCTGATGACGCCACATCCATTTCTAGTAAGAAAGTGGCCATATTGCCAAACCAATGTGGTCCCACACACATATTGTGAGCATATGGCTGTGGTAAAATTGGCTTGTGCTGATATTTCCATCAATAGTCTTTATAGTTTAGCAGTGATTATCTTGATTGTTGGGACTGATGTGACATGCATCTCTCTGTCCTATGTACAAATACTCCGTACTGTATTCAGTCTCCCTTCTAAAGATGCCAGGTTGAAGACCCTCAGCACTTGCGGATCCCATGTTTGTGTCATCCTCACCTTCTACATCCCTGCTCTTTTTTCATTCCTCACTCACCGATTTAGTAAGCATATCCCACGCCACACCCACATTTTGTTGGCTAACGTGTACTTACTGGTACCCCCAGTGCTGAACCCCATCATCTATGGGGTGAGGACTAAACAGATCCGAGAATGTGTTATACAATTATTCACAAATAAAATAAGCTGAGAATTGTGGGTCCAACTTTCAGTCTTACTCGCACATTCCTACATTGCTGTAATGGTAAAAGTTCTTGGATTATAGAACTAACACAAATAAGAATTAAAATGAAAGTTATATTCACTATATTTAGCTACATGAGCCTGTAGAATGGAGCTAAGAACATCTGTCTTTTTCTAGCCCATTTAAGCACTTGATGAAAATTAGATTGCTTTAGTCTTTTCTGTACATATGTGTCTTTGGTGTCTTTGCAAAACATGTGTATTGTTTTATCTTGAGAGTTTTTAATAGGAACATTCTCCTGAGTATGAAGTTTTTAGAAAAGAAATTTGGAAGAACATAATTCTGACATCTCAGAGTCATTCTATAATCTATTTGTAATTTGGAAGTGGTAATGACTGGTTAGAACAGAAACTTTAGTGATACCTGTCACTTTGCAAGTGATGAGAAGGATACAATTTGAAGATTTACTTGAGAGTGAATATGAAGTCTAAAATTAATGACAAACATGATGATGTCTGGTAACTGTTGAGTTGTTAGCCAAATGTTGTAAGTTCAAACTGCCTACCAGCTTGGTGGGAGAAGGATGAGGCTGTCTGTATCGATAACGATTTATAAAGCCTCAGAAACACTACATAGGAATGGTTCCTATGAATCTGAATACAGTCCATAGCAATGGGTTACTGATGGTCTATAAATTCCCGATCTTTCAAACTTCTGAAAAATTGCAAATAATCATAAATCATTCCTCCTTATGTATTGGAACTAAGTTAACATCTATATTTATTAATTCTGTCAATAAGTATTTAGTGGGTCTGTTCTATGTGCCCTGCAGTTATCTGGCCATTTAAAAACATAAACAAAACAAACAAAATTTCTTTCTTTGTGGAGATTACAGTTTAGTAACGAAAGCTGCCAAATATAAATTGTCACTTAAATATGAAGATGCAACTTATTATGATATACATTTCCTATAGTATTTAGTGCTTTGACTGTATCCCCCTGATTTTGAGTCTTGATTTTTTTTCTCCACTTTTCCTATGATACGTAGAGACCAAACTTAAAGTATTGGTACATCTCATTAAAATTCTACTCGTTTCTGTAAACGCATTTACAGGGCTTTCTGTTATGTGCTGAATTGACTATTTATTTGTCAATTTAATTGAATAGCACACTATTGACTGTGGCTATGCACCTCTTTGTCCTTGTAATGTTCCTTGTTCTGAATTATATTGTATTAGTAATAAAATGAGACTTGATGGCTTCATAGGTTCAAAGGTGAAAAGTCAGGGATTCAAACCCTCCAATGGCTCTGTGGGAGAATAACGAGACTATTTGCTACTGTAAATATTTGCAGTCTCAGAAACTCAAAGAACAGTTCTATTTTGCCTTTTGGATCTTGCAGAATCAGAATAGACTTTATAGCAATAGCTTATATTAATATAGCTAATGCATTCATGGTATATATTTTTACTTTTAATCTATTTTCATTTAAAATGGGCTGTTGTAGACAACATTTAGTTAAATCTTAATTTTTATTGGAATTTACTATCTTTAACTGTTGTGTTTAGACATTTTTAATTAATTAATTATTTTGGATTTATTTCAATAGTTGCAAAATATTCTAAAAGATCTATTTTTATTTATTTGCTTGTTTATTATACTGTTTTCCCCCTTACAATGTACTTTCACATTTGCATAAATCTCCTATTTAATTTCAGCTATCCATTGCCTTTTCCCTGTGTCTGCTTTTTATTTTTTCATGATTGATATACTTTGCCACTTTATCACTTTGAGACTTAGATAATACTTAGTTGTCTGGGATGCCTGTACACCACAGAACATATAGCAGCATTTGCTTTCTACTTGCTAGATACCAGTAGTAACTAGAAGTGTGTCCAGAAGTGGGCAAATAGTCTGACAGGTATAGGAGGGAGCAGGGAGATGATGATATCTACCCTGACTGAGATCTTCTGTTCTAGATGTGTAGGGCACTTTGTCTCTGTTCTTTATGCGGTAGTTTTCATGTGTAACAAATGGAAAACCCACCAGACATGTTATGATTACTCTTTGTTTTCAAGAGTGATGGGTACTTTAAAATTAAACTTCCCAAAGTCTTCTTATATTGAAGCATAACAATTACAGTTACAGTTGCTCTTCCTTCACGTCTGTCTAACTTATCCAGTTTCCTGCTGGTCTAATTGCTATTCAACACGAAGCAGCAGCGAGTCAGTTGAGGGCCTATCAGTGATTTCAACCAAACATAATCACTTCAGTTACATGGAAAGCAGCAGGAGCACAGGGGCAGGTACCCACACAGGGTGGCGGGAGGCTGGGAGGGGAGACGGAGATGATAGTGAGGATGGCCCCTGAGACAAGGACAGGAGCAAAGATGAAACTACCTCCAAAGAGGTATGGGTCAAGCCTTGGGCCTTTATTTTAATTTTTCCCTCAAGAACCATTAGAAAAATAAACCTCTGTTTTCAAAAACCCACTTGTGCTATTTTTTTAAATAAGTACTTAGTACCCAAGACACTGGAACTTACTGGGAAGGATGTAGAACAGAATTCCTTTCTGACATTGCTGCTGATAAGACTCTTTATGCTGGATCCTGTGGTCAGAAAGGATGAGGTATGTATTGCAGGTTTTACCTGCAGTGTATAACTGCTGGAAGCTTGCTTGCAAGGCAATGGAAGAAAAATTATAGGGGGTGAGAGGGTAGTGGAATAAGAACATCCACTAATCCAGTCATTCATTTAAGTTTTGACTCCCTGTTTCAGTATGCTTGATTTGTTTACTTTGTGGAATACTTCAGATAGTTATTTTATTTAATTATTTATTTTTGGTAGTTTGTCTTTTTTTTTTTGAAGTTAGAAATACTTGTGGTTAGAAGTCTGCACAGATTTATTGGTTCTCTGTTTCCCTTTTTATCTTCCTTCCACTTCTCATTAAAACAAAAACAAACAAACAAAACAAAATAAATAGCTCACTGTCAATGAGTCAATTCTGATTCGTATTGGATCGTCAAGAACTGGCCTGTGGGTTTCTAAGACTGTAATGATTTATGGGAATAGAAAGCCTCATCTTTCTACCATGGAGCAACTGATGATTTTGAACTGCTAACCTTGTCGTTAGCAGCCCAATGTGTAACTACCAAGACACCATTTCTCAGTAGCATGTATGTAATACCATTTTTGTATATCCAAGCTCAGTGTAATTCCAAGTTACAATATACAAGGTTATTTTTACACAGTGCTCAGTTTTCATAATAGTTCTAGTGTTTGAGATCTTTAATGCTGTGTAGAAAGAATTGTTCCTGGTGGGCACAGATGCATTAGCGTTTACTGTCATCAATCCTACTGGAGAGCAAAGTGTATTCCTCTGCTGTTCAGCTGTGAAGGTTGAATTCACCAAAGCAATGATTATGGAGAAGCCTAGTCCCTTGCTGGTCTGGCAAGAATTTGAGAGACTGTATTATACACTGTTGAACCAGGACACAAGCATGCTGCACAGATTATACAGGAGGGAAAAAAACAACTCTTCTTAGGTCCATGAAGGTTTGCATTCAAATGGGAAACAAGTAGATGCTATCTAAGGACAATATGAAATCCATAGGAAAATGATATCTCAAAACTGTATCAACGGTCACAAAGATCTGTCATGTTGATGCTCATGCTACTCTAAATGATGGCATGGCTGATCAGGTGAAGGGACTGTGCTCCTATAACAACCAGACTTTGAGGAGATTCATGCACATTTTTCGTCGTGCCTGAGGATTCTGTTGCAAATAAAGTGTGATCACAATATCTTCAGATGCCAAGATGCAATATTTGATATCACTGTCACTGAGTCTCAGGAGGAATCTGAAGAAGAAGTAGAGAAGCCTTATGCAAGACAGAAGACACCAGAGGTGATGTTGCCGCAAAATTCTATGCCCAGACTAAGAGCAATGACTTTAAAGAGCATATAGAGGAGTGGTTTTCAACCTTTCTGATGCCACGAACTTTTAATACAGGTCCTCATGTTGTGGTGACCTCCCAACAATAAAATCATTTTCATTGCTACTTCATCACTGTAATTTTGCTGCTGCTATGAATCATTATGTAAATATCTGATATGCAGGATGTATTTTCGTTGTTAGAAATTGAACATAATTAAAGGGTAGTGATTAATCACAAAACAAAATGTGATTACATATTGTGAAATATTTATTTCTAATTATAAATAAATGAAATTTTGTCTTGAAGCCTGGTGTAGCCTGGGTAACAGTCTTGACGCCCTGTACTCATAGATGGATGTATCCGCATGTGGGCAGACCCCACTGGAGACAGATAGATGAGTGGTGTCTCAGTTCCTATAACCATCGGAAATAAGTGTTGTCAATTGGTCTTAGGAAACTCCTGTGAAATGGTCATTCAACCCCCAAAGGGGTGGTCGTGACCCACAGGTTGAGAACCACTGATTTAGAGGAATCTGCAACTGAAACAGAGCCCCATCCTGAACCACAATCAGAGCAAGAGTCAGTATCTGAAACCCAAGAGGAAAAATATGAGCTTGTATGAAAATAAACTGCCCCTTATTTTACACATACAATTCTGTTGTTCAAACCTGAGATAGTTAACGTTTATTGTGCCAACATGGCCAATGAACACATGGTATTTATTGAAGGGTGGAGAGATAAATGGCTCTGTGAGCCACCTCGCCTTTCTCATCTCTTGCTCTTTGATGATCGGACCAGGGTGCAGCTGCCTTGCTTGTTCTGTGCCTCCATTTGCAAGTTACACTACCTGTGGGACACCTAACCCGTGGATTGTGTCGCTGTAATTTGAGTTTCCTTCAAGACTTGCTTTGCCACACTATTGGAATATATATCCCTTGAGCTGGGGATTGTCAGACC